ATGTCCGTAATCAGCATCCGTAATCATCCACATGCATTCAGCGGTGTAATTTTAACATCCTTGCCAGATTTAAATGGTTAGAACAGGCTGGCGAATAACCGCGGATTTGAGCATTATATGGAAATATGTGCTTGATACCTTTAGAAGTTCAAGTGACACTTTACGGTAGATCCATATGGACGATTTATCAATGATGGTTTTGACCGCAAAGGCCGTCGACAGGATTGATTGAGGACATGTCAAACCTGAAATTAAAGACTAGCTAATGCTTCATTATGTCAATTCATTATATCTTTTAAGAAATAAAAAATTAGAGCATATAGAATTTACTGTCCCTCTCAAATTTGATACCATATCACCCCCTATCGAAGCACACTTGGACAATGCTGTTGAGCTCGAAGGCTGTTGCGGTGCGCGCCGTGATCCGCAAGTCTCAACGTGCCTTTAGTGTACCACCCAAGACTACAATAGCAATTAAGACGGCGCAACCTACGCTGAACGTTAAACCGCCCAATACTAATAAGCCGCCCAATTCTTCGGTTGATACGGCTATCACGAACTCGAGTACCGGCTCGTCGCTGTCTAAAGTGCTTCTTCTCGGTCTTCTAAGTACACCAGCGGCAACAGCGGTGTATATCAAACAGAACCCAGAGTGGAACCCAGCTACGCTTAAGGATGATGTGCGCTGGATCAAGTTTCGTGAACTAGTGCTGGGGAACGAAGCCACCGACACAACCTTGGCGCCCATGAAGCGCACCCCCGAGGACTTCAGCAGCGCAATTAACAATGCTCATAACGAGATGAAAGCGGAGAAGTTGGATATGACGCAGGAGGAAAAGAAGGCTGAAAAGAAAGAGAGAAAGAAAGAGAAAAAGGAGAAAAATAAAGAAAACGCTGCGAAGAAGGTCGAGAAGAATTCAAAGGTGAAAAGTGAGGAAAAGGTCGAGAGTAAAGCTGACAAGCTGGATAAAAAGCTTGAGAAAGCCGCGAAGAAGGCGGTCAAAGCTGAGAAAAAAGTTGCTAAGCTGAAGAATGAGCTGGAATTCAAAAAGGTGGAAAGTGAAGTGCACAAAGACGAAGGCTTCGTCGAAAAGCGCGATACAAAAGCAGCAGCTGTAGATGCTGGTGCTGCCTCTGCATTAGATAAGAAACAAGATGATGCCATGGCTAAGGCGCGTGATGAGATCGCGAAGCTGGCAGGCGAGGCTAGTCCGGATCAACTTTTCCATCAACTGGATAATCAGATTCAAGCTACTACGGTATAGTGTTGCACCAATGATTTAATGCAATAGATTCGTCAATTACCGATAATCTGTACATCTATGGGTTGCAGAATGGATTGCTCAGCGCACTGAAGGAAGAATCGGAGGCGGCAGCAGCAGAGATGGACAAGCATTACATGTCTGGTCTTGATGTTCGTGATGAAACAGTAGCTGTGTTGTTACGGGCTTAGTAACTGATACATATCCTTTGTTCTTTTAGGAGCTCGATGCAAAATCGTTGGCGATTCGCGTGGCTCAATTAGCTACGGAAATGAAACATCGTTCAAAATGGGAGGCTGTACGACTTCTGGAATCGCTCCGACATATGGAAGAGAACGTCCAAAAGAAAAGCACAGAAATGTTACGTCGCCAGAGTGAACTGCACAAGGAGCTGCTTGCCCGTGAGCTTCGTCTGCAGCGTGAATTGCTCTCCCGCCAAATGCGCGAGGAAATAGACGCTTTAAAAAAACAGTATTCCGACGATTTGGCGCGCAGTGTGAGCCAGCAGCGTATGAGCTTGCTTTCGGAGCTGCAGCGTACATTTGATCGCGAGCGCAAGGCAATTCAGGAGCGCTACAATCAGCAGTTAGAGGAGGCGACGCAAAACATGCAGAAGTCGTTTACCGACGAGCGTGCAAAGCGTGTACAGGAGCTGAAGGAGTACCGTGCCGAGCTATGCGCACTAGGAGAAGCCCTAGACAGCTCATCGACATACGAGGCCTTCAGCCACCGTGTTCACAAGGCTTCCATGGCGGCGCTGGCTTTATCGGATCGCGTGGAAGCTGCAGCTCCGTTGCGAAGCGGGATCCGTGCTTTGCGTGAGGCGGCAAGGAACGACCCTTTCATCGACGCGGCCATCAAGTCGCTGCCGCAGGAAGCAATTGAGCAGGGTGCGCCATCTGTGGGCCAGCTTCAGGAGCGCTTCAAAGTCGTCAAAAGTGTCGGCCACCGAACTGCTCTGGTTCCTGAAAACAGCGGTCTGATAGGTCAGGCTTTCGGCACTGCGCTGTCCTTGCTAATGATCCCTCCTGGAGGCCCCATCGAAGGCACTGACACGGATGCTGTGCTATCCCGCGCCGAGTTTGCTCTTAAGTCGGGCGATATCGAAAAGGCTGTCGAGGAGATGAAGGCTCTTTCCGGCCTTCCCGCGCAGGTTTCGCACGACTGGATCTCTGCTGCACAATCTCGTTTAGCTGTTGAGCAGACGGCTAAGGTGATCAAGGCGCACGTGGCGCTGCTGGCGGCGAGTTGCTCGTAAGAGTTAGTCGGATGGGAACCGAAGTGTATCTGTCGTGGATGTTTGGTATAGAAACTGATGCGAGTAATGGCATATATTGACATTTATCCGCCGTCATACTCAAAGATCCATTTGATTGCAATAAGCATTTACTCGTGCGGCGTAACTGATTAAATATTCCCTTTGTTGTGAAGGTAAGATTATAAGATCGATGATCCGTAAGTAGGCTCTAGATTTAGATAAATATAAGCACTGAAGATCTCCATACAACTGTAATCAATGAATTGTAGTTTGGCTAACTAAGTACAACGGCCTAGAAAATAGACATTTTACGCGCCGTAAGTTTTTGGCCCGGGCGCCAGCCCATCGTGGGCATTGCGTAGTACTCGGAAATGTTGCAGACTTCGAGTTTGCGCACCTTCTTGATGGCCTGCACAAACAGCAGCGCGCACTTGATGTTGTTAATGAGTGAAACACCAAAGTCTACGGCCGCACGGCGGATCTTATAGCCGCTCGTCAGTTCCTCGCGATTCGAGCCCTCGGGGACATTAATCACCAGCTCAATCTTGCCTGACGAGATGTACTCGATCACGCTCGGTAAGTCGCACTCAGGGTCCGACGGCTTGCGTAGGGCAATAGACTTTACACCTTGCGCGACCAGATACTCATGCGTACCAGGTGTAGCGTAGATCGTGTAGCCCAGCTCCTGCAGGATCAAAGCACCCTCTACGAACTCACGCTTGATGTCCTTGCTGCCGAGGGAGATCAAGACATGCTTTTCCTTGGGCATTTTGAATCCGGCACTCAATAGCGCCTTTAAGTACGCTTCATGCATGTCTGTGCCAAAACAAGCCACCTCACCAGTCGAGGCCATCTCGACACCTAGACTAGGATCAGCACCATGAAGACGCGTGAACGAGAATTGCGGCGCTTTAACGCCAACATAATCAATGTCGATCAACGCGATCGGCACTGATTTGACCGGAAGACCGATCATGGCCTTCGTAGCCAAATTAATGAAATTTAAATCGAAGGTTTTCGAAATGAAGGGAAACGTCCTCGAGGCACGAAGATTGCACTCGATCACCTTGACGTCGTTATCGCGAGCCATGAGTTGGATGTTAAAAGGACCAGTGATGTTAAGCGCTTGTGCGATTGCGCTGGCAATGCGCTTCACCTGCTTGATCGTTCCAACGTACAGCTTTTGAGCAGGCAATACTAGTGTGGCGTCTCCAGAGTGCACACCAGCATTCTCCACGTGCTCTGACATGGCATAGTTAAGAATGGCACCGTCCTTAGCCACACCGTCAAACTCGATCTCCTTGGCGTTCAAAATAAATTTAGACACAGTAACTGAGCGCGAAATTTTGACGGCGTCACTGCTTAAATAGACCCTTAACTGGTCTTCGTCTGACGCCACAATCATGCCGGCGCCCGATAGCACATAACTGGGTCGAACAAGAACCGGATACTGCACATCCGCAGCGAAGGCGAGAGCAGAGTCAATGTCCGTGACTTCAGTCCAACGTGGTTGGTCTACGCCCAGTGTGTCCAAGAGAGCAGAAAATTTGTTGCGGTTCTCGCACTGGTCAATGCTTTCGGGAGACGTACCCAAAATGTTTACACCGGCAAGGGACAGCGGCATCGCTAGATTGTTAGGGATCTGGCCACCTACAGAGACGATCACACCTTCCGGAGTCTCACGATCCCAGATGTCCAGCACGCGCTCCAAACTTAACTCCTCGAAGTACAGGCGGTCGCATTCATCGTAGTCCGTGCTCACTGTCTCTGGGTTGTAGTTGACAACGATTGCCGGCTTGCCCAGCTCACGCACCGTGCGTACAGCGCTGACCCCGCACCAATCGAATTCTACTGACGAACCAATGCAATAAGCACCACAGCCAAGCACCACGATGGCCTCTTCACTTGCTGGAATATCATCCTCTGAGCCACCATACGTCATATATAGGTAGTTGGTTTGTGCTGGAAATTCAGCAGCCAGTGTATCTATCTGCTTGACGCACGGCACAATTCCAAGCTGCTTACGTCGCTCGCGTACCTGCATGGCACTAGTGCCGGGTAGTTTGGCGGCGATCTGACGATCAGAAAACCCGTTCACCTTAAGCGTACGCATAAAGCGCTCGCTAATCGTATCTAGAGTAAATTTAGGCACCGACTGGCGAAGCGAAGAAATCCGCGCCAGCTTGGACAGAAACCATTTATCAATTTTAGTCAGCTCGTGCACACGATCGATCGTGTAGCCGGCGTCTAGGGCTGAGATAACGTAAAACAGCCGCTCGTCAGTCGGATGGCTCAGTTGTGCGTCGAGAACTATCGGATTTGCTTCGTTGTCAACGGCGCAACCATCGAGGCCGTCCAAATTTGGATTTACCATTCGCACAGCCTTTTGGATGCATTCTTCAAAGTTACGACCAATAGACATGACCTCACCGACGGAAAGCATGTAGCTTCCTAGGTCGTTGGACACGCGCGAAAATTTCTTGAGGTCCCAGCGCGGCATCTTGACCACACAATAGTCCAGACTAGGCTCGAAGCAGGCAGTGGTAGTCTTTGTTACACTATTTTTGATCGACACTAGGTCGATCCCTAAAGAGATTTTGGTCGCGACGTATGCAAGCGGGTAGCCGGTGGCCTTTGACGCAAGAGCACTGGAGCGAGAAAGACGAGCATTCACCTCAATGATGCAGTAGCGCTCAGACTTAGGATCCAATGCATACTGGATGTTACATTCACCAACAATGCCCAAGTGGCGAACAACTTTTTGCGCTGTCGAGCGAAGTTTGAAGTACTCGCTGTTCGACAACGTTTGAGATGGAGCAACAACAATCGAATCACCTGTATGGATGCCCAGCGGGTCAAAATTTTCCATGTTGCACACTGTAATACAGTTGTCCTTGGCATCCCGTACAACCTCGTACTCGACTTCTTTCCAGCCACGAAGATCCTGATCGATCAATATCTGCTTGATCTGGCCCTTGGAAGCTGAGCCGTGCAGAGCCTTGGTGGCTAGCAAACGCAGCTCCTCGTCATTTGCAGCAAAACCCGAACCAAGACCGCCCAGGGCGAAAGCCGAACGCACCAACACAGGGTAACCAATCTCGTTTGCAGCCTTTAGTGCTCCTTCGATGGTTGTCGCTGGCTGACTTAAAGCGATCGTTTCACCGATCTCTGCAAGCTTAGCCGAAAACTTTTCGCGATCCTCCGTGTCAATGATAGACTCGATCTGCGTACCCATAACGCGAACATTGTGGCGATTGAGGTCGCCGTTTAAGTAGAGCTCAATACCGACGGATAGAGCAGTTTGGCCACCCATGCTCACTAAAATTCCATCTGGCTTTTCTTTCTTGATAATTTCTAGCACTGTTTCAGCCCGAACAGGAACAAAGTATACCTTGTCGGCCAGCCCTTTGGACGTCTGCACCGTGGCAATGTTTGGGTTCACTAGAACAACGTGCACGCCTTCCTCACGCAGAGCTTTGATAGCCTGCGAGCCCGAGTAGTCGAACTCACCAGCCTGGCCGATAGATAAACCACCGGAACCAAGCAGCAGCACCTTGGAAAATGTCGGACGGTCGTAAAGGGATGTGTCCAAGACCGTAAGTTTAGGAGGGGCGCTATTAACTTTCTCAAGAAACATGTCAAAAAGAAAGGCCGTATCTGTGGGGCCACCACAGGCTTCAGGGTGGAACTGCACCGAGAAAAAGGGTTTAGTTTCATGAATGATGCCCTCGTTAGACTTATCATTAGCATTCATGAAAAAAGTCTTCCAGCCTTCAGGTAACGAATCAGAATCCACTGCGTAGCCGTGGTTCTGCGGTGTAATGTAACAGCGTGTGGTACGCATATCAATGCACGGTTGATTCATACCACGATTACCATATTTCATCTTGTACGTGGTGGCCCCAGCGGCTAAGGCCAAAATTTGGTTACCCAAACAGATTCCAAAAATGGGTTTTGGATTTTCTTGATTGATAGCCCAGCGGATGCAATCAATAGTCTTAGAGGCCATGGTAGGGTCACCGGGACCGTTACTGATGAAGATGCCGTCATATTTCAAATCGCTGTTAGGCAGATCATAGTCGTAAGGAACGACCGTGAGCTCTACTCCCTTAGAAGCTAGGTATCGTATAATATTGTGCTTCATACCACAGTGAAATGCGACGATCTTGGGAGAAGCACCCTTGTTGTACACTGTGACTTCCTTAATGGTCACATCTGCTACCAGATTCATCTTGTTGGGATCGTCGATCTCTAAAGGTTGACCATCGAACTCAATTTTTCCCAACACAGCACCGAGGGACCGAATGCGCTTTGTAATCATGCGTGTATCGATGCCAAACAGTGCTGGTACGTTGTGCTCTTTGAGCCACTCGCCGAGAGATTTGACGGCGTTCCAATGGCTGTGCTGGAAAGAGTGTTCAGACACAATAAGGCCTGAGATTTGTACAGAGTCCGACTCAAAAAACTTAGGCAAATTATACTCGTCCGTGACACTCATGTCAGGAACACCATAGTTGCCAATGAGTGGGTACGTCAACACGAGGATCTGACCGCGGTAAGACGGGTCAGACAGTGCCTCAGGGTAGCCCACCATACCCGTGTTGAACACTACTTCGCCCGAGATGCTCTTGTCCGCACCGAAAGAGTAGCCAATGTATGTAGTACCGTCCGCCAATACTAATGTACCACGCGATGCGCTATCTGTCTCTGTGGCCACGGGAGACAGAATTGGTGCCTGTGTGGCTAAGGCTGCATTCTCTGAGAAGGTCACCGACGACATGTTGGCGATGTTGAAGCTTAAGAAAGTGGGACCGGAGTGATGGTCCCGATGTTGATGCTTGCTTGTGCTCTTGAAGGCAAAAGGCAAAGTCTTAATATTGAAAGCGCGCGTCCAAAGAATGTTCGATACCATCGCTGTGCATTTTACTTGGTTAAAGTAAGTGGACGCTGGATATGGCTTGGATATATTGATATATCTCTGTGGCAATGAACGGCATCTGGTCGTCCACTTACTTTGTACAAGTAAAAAGCGTATTTTATATATTTTAAAAAAGGAACGCCAGAGACATCCCTACAAAACACAAGGTAAAGCCGGTGGCTAGGAGCCGCCCGCATGCATAAGTCTGCAGAACCGGGGCTATCACAAATGCGTGGTGCTGACGCGCCCAGTCTTGGGCACCTATTTTCTAGCTCTTTTCGCATTTTGCGGTCCAGAGCTCAAGTGGTTGTCTGAAGCAGGCGCGTCAGGAATTATGTGCAGATGATAGAGCAATGCCCCCCCGCCTGTTTGCGTGACCGATAACATCAGCAGATACAGGTCGGCCCCGTAATGTAATGATGCGATTTGTGCGAGGTAGCTTAAGCTGCTAGGAGCCTCCTGGGCTTCTTCAAGATGGGCCAATTCGTCAAGGGTATAAGCAAAGCGCATGAAGATTTAATGCTCAGCAGAGAAAAGTGATATCGGCTACAAAAGTTGTTGGAGATGCACGCACCGCAGAGTTTGATGTGTGTGCTGTGCCGTTTCAATTTGATTACACATGAATCTCTACGGGAAGATGAAACAGCAAAAGCATCTCTTACACTGCTGAAGAACTAAGGCAGGCATGCCAAAGCTTGAGTGCTAGCTATTACAGTTGCGATTCAGCGAATCAGATGCACGAATGAATATGCTATCAGCCTCGGAGACAACGATGTGCGATATGAATCGATCTGAAACATTGATGCCCAGCCAGCAATCGATAGTTCGTGTAGTCATGCCACCAACCCATTTTTCTAGGGTGATGACTCTGGTGCAACCAACATGGGCGGGTCCCGATGCATGCCATTCATTGTCGGCGGCATTCAGCTTAGTCATGAAAATGGTATACTCGCTCCTGGGTGCGGGTAACAGTGTCGACCTGTTAAAATGTCCACAGCGACATTTCATGTTCTTCTGCGCACACCTTTCATACTTATGTTTGTGAGTGGTCAGCAATTCCTGTAAAAACATGATTCATTCACATTGAATCGTCATTCTAAGCTTCCACTGATCTCACATAGCGCAAGATACCTGTTTCACCACAACGAGACTTTTAAACAAGTCATCTGCATTTAAAATGGCGATGTACGTCTTCATTGCTAGTACTTTTACCTGTCTGTCATAGTAAACAGTAAACCGCTCTCGATTTTGGAAAATTGGGAATATATTATTTTTCTTTTAATATTCTTACGCCAAAATCTGTTTCTAATGTAAAAGTTAATGTAAGCATGAAAAGGGCTACGGTTCTCGTAGTACTTACATTTTTTGGCCTCGTCGCGACGAATGGTCTCCTGCTGCATATGCAAGTCAGTCAACGACGGAAGCGTGTCAACAGGAGCTGTCGGCGTGGTTTCAGCGTGGTGGCGAGTCCATCGGCTCATCATCATCCGAGGAATTCGCAGTGACCGGCTCTAAACTTAAAAACTCATCATATT